ACAGAAAATTGAAAATACAAAAAAAAACGCATAAAAACGAAAAAAACCAGAAAATTAAAGTTGGAGGGGTTAGGGTTAGAAGTGAGGGTAGGTGTTGTTTTTGAAAAATATTTTCGTAACTTTTTCTAGGGAAGTCATTTTCCTCCAATTTCAGGATAATGTGATATCTAGAAAAATATTTTTCATACTATTTTGTGCAACCAAACAGTGGAAAATGGGAAAATATTTTCCGAAAAATTCAAAGAAAATGTTTTTATAGAAAACAAGTAGTAATCTTACTCACTTTTCGGTATTTGGTACGCAAATTAAGGAAAATAACTTCTGAAGAGTATTCATAAATAATTTAGATATAATAAACATGAAGCCATAAACTTTCGAACCAACAACCTTCCGAACCGATAAATTTCATAAACTTATTCGAACCCGTAAACTCTATAATTTGTAAACCCGCAAACTTCCAAACACATAAACCTCCGAACTCATAACTTTGGAACTCGTAAAATTTCTAACATGTAAACTGAAAAATGAAAAACCAGAACTAAAAATGTAAAAAAAAATATTTTGGGAGGGGTATATTGGGGTTAGATATGAGGGTTGGTGGAGTTTTTGGAAAATGTTTTCCTAACTTTTTATAGGGAAGTCATTTTCCTTCAATTTTAGGGAAATGTGATATCTAGGAAAATATTTTCCGTCATACCAAACACACCCTTAGTATGATTCATATTAACTAGCTCCTACAGTTGTGATAGTACCATGTCCTAATGTAAGAAAATCAACATTGCTCAACTTGTAACAACAAGCAGATTCTATTTCATTTTTCAAAATACATCTATTCGTCATTTATAGTGCAACGGAACACACTGTTTGATATGTGTCATGTAACTATATTTGATTTGTCTGTGTATACAACACTCAACTGAGCGTGTTACGGGGAAATAGGATAAGAGGTTGCAAAATTGGGTGATTTGCCGTTAATGGGGTTGGATTCTACTGGCTTATAAGCTGTGGCTTGTTGTGGTTGGGTAGAAGCGACAACATGACTGGAAAGGAGCTGGCAAAAGCTGAAGTAGCACTCTTTTATCGTTGATGCAAGGTTAGTCTTGGTACAAAATTCGAGCAACTCTCAAGATGAAGTACATACTATTGCTGCTAATACTCCAGAATTTACTTGGACACAATTTCTAAAATAAGTTCTCGTTTTTGTCAAATCACATGCCTCAAGACTGTTAATCTATCATGAATGAATACCTGCATCTTTGCAAACGGATGTAGTATATCTAACCGAAGTGCGAATTCATTAGTTATCAGCTCACCTCGTCAAGCTTGAATTCTAAATTTAACTGTCAGTATATGGTGTTGTGACTAGAGACGGATAATAGCCTATTTTGGATGTGGGAAAATGGTTGAGGAACAACGCATCTGGAATCAAGACTATTGCGGTGACAAATAAATCTGAGAACTTGATGATGGTGATGGTTCACTTGTTTACATTCCACATTGTATCTGTTAACATTGCATATGACAGCTTTCTACAAGTTGTTTCTGCACATTCTGAATAAACTTTGGCATTAACTTGCTTCTCCTTATGTTAGTTTCCCCTCTTTGAAAAGTGTTCCCAAGTTTACAAAATTGAATATTATTGTATATATATTGATATCTCTGCAAAATTGAAAATAACCTCTCTGAAGTTTAGATTATGGCTTGAATATGACACCTGACCTAAAGGTGCTGCTCCTAATGATCATTTAATTGCTTAGTTTAGATGGTGATGCCCTTCAGAAAGAAATAATACTCCTTAATGTTTTATCAGATTGGTACAGTTCTTGTATTCATTTGGTATATGGCGATTAGATTAAACAATTAACACTATTAGCTGTCTTTAAATATTCCTTTTAAGGGCATGGAGAGGATTCAAATTTGACAATCATATTTATTTTGTAGAGAACTTTCCTTGAGATTTTCATGACAAGAGACCATTCAAAATTTCATATGGCTATTTCAGCTCAAGTTTGATGACATAACTCAAATGAATCACAATTGACAGAACTAATGTGGTTTTATGCTATCAATAGAAAAGGGTTCATATGCTTGGTCTGATGTCCCTGACTGTCCATTCAGAAAATGTAGACAAGTATCAAATTTGTATCGTCTATGAAATTCAATTTAATTGACAGAAATATTGAGTGTCAAAGACAAAGAGTACTCTTTCCTGTTCTCTTTTGTTTTCTGATAAAGTTACTCTTTCCAATCTAATATGACTGTTTCCACTTTATGACATGTCAAACATGCTAAAATGCACTTCAACTTCAAGCAATATCAATAAGAAACAGTAACATTAATACATTACATAACTCTGTTCACCAAGTTGAAGTATTCAAATACTTTATAGATGTCAACTCCAACACTTCAAGCATGATGTAGGAGGCAAATAATGCTTCCTTGATATGATATGTGCCTTAACTTTTCTAAATATATAAGACTTTAGTAGCAATTCCTGTAGGTTCTACAAAATGTGAGGAATCACTATCATATAGAATCTTCAGGAGAATGAACTATTACCATTAGTAGTTGGACAACCTATATATACAAAGAGACAGGTGAGGCTTGCTCAGTTGGTAAAAGTACCTCCACCTACGACCGTTAGGTCCTGGGTTCGAGTCACGCTGGAGGGAAAGTGTAAAAACACTATAAATCCTCCTAATTTGGGAGGAGTTTGAAGAAAAAAAAATATACGAAAAAGAAAAAGGAGCTCGGAGTCTATTCCTACACTACAAATTAAAGAGGTAATTAATGTGCAAGTTTCAAAAAGCCATCGAGATCAATATACATGTTAATTCTTTTTTCTTATTGCAAATTATAGTAGATAATGTTCTTCATTTCAAATTGAAAGAAATAAGTGAGAGACACCAAAATGAGATAATACTCAGATTAATAGTATTCAAGTTAGTAATTTTCGTTGTTTTTTGTTCAATAAGAAAACATCTCAAAAGATTTGCACCGGGTGTTTCCACATTTTTGTTATAAAGTCATGCCATCCTCCAGTGTTCTTCATATATTTTGAAATGGAAGAGAAAGAATGTAAAAAGAGTAATACATCCAAAGAAGAAAATAAAGAGAATTTGAAAAATTGCTTCATAATTAAACCATATAGTTAATTATAAGCAATCCGCACCTCCCTTTGAAATTGAAGAACGTAACTGCTCCATTTCAAATAACAATCCTATGCTGACCAAATAATTATTTTTTGGAAGAAAAAATGATCCAAGACAGTATATATATAATTTCAGCCAATTATACCATCCAATTAAATATGGCTTTCCAAACAGGATCAAAATCACATTTTCGTCGCATTACACGTGAATTTGGAATGTGATTGGCCTAGTCATTTCATAATTTCGTCCCGCCACCTAATATAAAGCTCTTTCAATAATTAGGAAATTCTAATTAATAAGGCTCTTACTCTTCTACCCTCTAATTAGGAAAACAACTTTTGACAATCAAATACTCCTAACTTAACAGTTTGTGAGAAAACATTCATCTAAAATTGCAAAACATGCAAACTCTCAGTAGCACATATTCCCTCTCCCCCTGGTCACAAATTTTAAGAAAATGTACAAGATAATATTTCTCCTCGATGGATAAATAGAGTAGCATTTTGTTAGAACGATGTAAAGAACTTTTCAGACTAAACGACACATATATATATAAAAGATAATCTCAAGAAATAACGTAGCTATATATATTAATAAGTTCGACCTAGTACTGATATTTTACTCAACAATGAAATCTTTGTAATGGATTAGTTACCGCGAGAACTATTCAGGCAAATCTTGATGTACAATTAATTTGTCTTCTATTTAGATGTTGGCTTGTGAAAATCGCCGATCCAACTCATTTTCCAACATTTTCCATTGCAATTTTGTCTCTTCATAGTCATCTGTGAATCAATCATTACATCATTATTTCTCATGAATAACAGTGTGTTTATTGGAAAAATAGACAGACTGCTTTCTAAGTTCATCCCTTTTGATTCCAAAAACTTCAATGGAAGGACATGAGAATTGAACTCTTTCCTTCTTTTTTTTTTGGCTGACTAACATGGGATGTAGGGTGTTGGATTTTGTTCACAATACCAATTGATATAAAAGTCATTTTGAGTCATTGGAATCGATTTTGCCTCCTTATCACTTTGGTTAGCTATATACCTGAATAATGAAGGGACATATACAAGACAGTGTTTTGACTCCTAAACTAATTCTAGATATAATTAGTAGGTATTTTTATTTTGCTTAATAGTAGAAGGTAAAAGTAATTCACTCCATTAGTACTTCCCCTTCAAATTTTCCCAAATATATGTCATAGCTAAAACTTGCAAACAAGAAGGCCGTTTTACTCGATAATCAACAAAAATAAAAATGTTGGATACCATAGAAGTTAATGAATTAACTAATAAACATTTTTCCTTATTGAAAAGTACAGCTAAATCACATATTTAATCAAGTACCGATAGGAAGAGAAATTACAATTAACTAAAAATTAATAGTCTAACTAAGATCCCAAAACCCTAACAAAGGTACCATGCACATTATTTAAAAATATAGAGCTCTATGTATATATATGTCTAGTAGCTAATTGATAAGACTACTTGAAGGGGTTATTGGGTTGGTAGTCTTTACAGTTTGCATCAGTTTGAATTGAACTCCATTCCCATAATCTGTCTGAAAAAGACGACGACGACTGAAGCGATCCTTGGAACAATAAAGATTGAGGCTGCGCATGCTGTGGTAATACTTGTGGCTGCAAAAACTGCTGGGATGCAACAGCAGGAATATGGTTAATGGGATTATTATGAAAATGCTGCTGATTATGAAACGCGACCTGCTGATCTAAGTTGATTAGTTTGTGGAGATCCTCGACTACAGCACCAGTACTACTCGGTGATACTAACGAAGCAAAAGGCGATAATGAGGATGTTGAAGTGACTGCGCCCCCAGCCATGGGGTCTAATGCGATGGAATTGTAAGAATTTGAAAGGGAATTGAGGCCGAGAGATGTAGCAACGTGATGATGGTGGTGGTGATCAGTGCTAGTACTGCTTGCACTTGTTTCAGTACTCAATTTTTCATCAATTTGCTGTTGGGAGGATTGACCTACTACATATGGAGAGATCAATGAGTTTTGTACTACTTGTTGATGGTGTTGTTTCTTGATTGAATTAGTAGTCCCTCTTGAGGAAGAAGAAGATGATGCTCTTGTTGTGGGAAGTGATCGAGGGAGAGATGGATGGTCTTCCACTCCGGATCTTTTATGGACACGGCACAATGAAATTTCAGCCTGAAAAACAAATAATAGATTCATTCAGTAATTTACACACTAATCGAAATTTGATGTCATAAAGTGAAGTCCCGTAATAATTAATTCGTATCTTCCATGCATGTTAATATATTGGTGTATATACGTTTTCGTCATGGGCATTTAAGAAACTCAACTAAATTTATGATTAAATCCCTTGTCAACTAATTGGCAAACTACGTACATTTCTTCTATTCACATTTTTATTCCTCATATTTTACCCTTTTCATCTTTATGCTTTTATATATCTTCTAATTGAGTTTCTTTCATGAACTTAATCTTAAGGATCTAGAGATTTGTGAAACATTGAGAATGAAAAAAAGTAGTACTATGTTTTCTAATGAACATTAATTGGAGCTAACATAGATTTCTGTAGCTTCCCACTTTGGAGAAAACAGTAGGTTCAACAGTCAAGCTTAAAAAAAGTCAAGCTTGATATGCACATCTTTGTAACCAAGAACACCATAAGACGGTCAAGAAATAAGGAATTTGTGAAGTTACTCGCAAGTATTTGAATTTATTACCTTTTGTAGGCGTTCAGTCTCATGCTGTGGAAGACGGTATTCATTCATAATCCAACTAGTTCTAATCCCCTTTGGAGCTTTGCCGGAGTAGAAAACTAATGTCTTTTTCAGGCCAATCGACTGCGAATTCTCGCTTCGAATCATTCTATCAGCTCCAGTAGCTTTCCAGTAACCTGAAGTTGTCACCCTATTAGGCCTGTCCCCATTTCTGTACTTCCGATCTCTTGGTACATAGAAATACCATTCCTTCTCTCCAATTGCTGCCAACGCTAAAACCAACAAAGCAAACCAAGTTATAGAACTTACAAGAAAACCCCCTAAACACTCAATCTAATCCAATATTATGTGCTAGGCGGATGCAATCTTTGTACCATTGGCTCAAACATGGAACATAGATATATATATATCTATACGAGAAATCACTAAAATTTTGACAAATTCTGAACTCATAATTTCAAAAGTACGACAAGTTAAAGAACAAAAGGTTGAATCCATTAAGTTTAAAATTCTAAATTCGCCTCTACAAGTACCAATATCAATATGGAGAAAGATTGAGAAGAAACGGAAAAAGTAATTAAAAGAGTAAGAGATTGGAATTCAGTGAAAGAGGGAAATAAAAAAAAGGAGAGTAGAAAATTAATATATATACCAGGAAGCTCCCAAGGGTCATAGCGATAAAGATAAAGAAAAGTGATGAGTTCAACATTAAAGCGCTTGCCTTCAACCTTACGGCGAAGATAAAACTCTACAAGTTCCTCTTCAGTTGGATGGAATCGAAAACCAGGCATGACCATGTCATGTTCATGATCATCATCATCTTTAATGGTGTTGTTAATGTTGTTGATGGTGTCATCTTGTTGCTCATGTTGTTGGCTTTGGCTCATGATGATGCTTGTAAATGGGACAATTGCCATAAAAATATAGGAGTAATATGAACTTTAATTTCTTTAGTAACAGTAACTTTTCATAAAGAGAATCCAACTCCCAATTATCTTTAGGCTAAAAAGTGGGAGTTTCTTCGTCCCCTTTATATTACCTGGCTTTATTGTACGATAATGCAAGCTGTGGATGAGAGATACGAGTAGTAAACGAACCCACACAAGTCAAAGTCTTAACTATAGTCCTCTCTAACTCTAGAGGGTTGAAGAAAATGTGGAGTTTCTTTTTATTTTATTTTTTGTTATTTTTTTGGATTGGGGGTGGGGTAGGAGTTAATAGAAAGATCTACATAGCTATCAGACCCTACGTATGAGAAGATGTTGAGTTAAGATGAGAAAGGGACTTCACAAAAATTAGGACAGGGTGTATAGCGGTGGGTTTGGAGCTTTCTTAATTCCCCTATTAAAGTTATTTTTCTTTAGTTACTAGTACTGCTTTCTTACACAAGATTTCACATTTAAGACTTATTTCTAGCGACTTTAATAAGAAAACTAAGATAGGTTACACGAATACCCTATCGAAATGTCGTTAAGTACATTTTATGTTGGTTATATTTGTAATTATAATCATTAATTTCTTTTTTTTCTTCCCAAAATCAAAAACTGCCGTGTACTTCCTTTTAGGTTTAGAATTCTTTAGAATTTACACTACTTGGGATTCTTGCCTTACGATTTCTTTTCCTTTGGTTTTGTTTCCTTTACTTTTAGAATTCTTGCGTTTTTGTTTCCTTTACTTTTAGGATTCTTTCTTTTAAATTATGGCATGTTTTTTTTCCATTGTTTCTTGTGTATCGGTTTAAGATGCAATTTTCATTATTTTTTTGGTGTAGGTTTAGGATTCAATTTAATATTAGTTTACCGACCGTAGTTTATGGTAATGTTGTATCTTCACTTTATTTTTACTTAGGATTCAATTTAAATTTCTAGAATTTTAGAACCAAAACAGTTAAAATAAGGAGGAGCTAACCACTTTATAAAAGAAGCCATTAACCAGCATTCTTTATTATAAATCGTTTATAGTATCAACCTTCGTATAGGTAAATTTGCTTGTGAATTGAGGTAAATTTTCTACCTTATTCTATATTCTTGAACTTACGTAATAATGATCTTTAATGCATTACTCATAAACAATTGCATATAGAAAGTTTGTCAATTGTGATTTTATTTATAATGTCTCATATATGATCATTGGTTTAAAATTGACTCATATACGAATGTTGTACAAGTTCTTTGGATCATTGCATTCATCACATAAAATTGGTCAGACATTCTAACTCATATAAATTGAATATTTTATTAATTTAAGATTATTTTCACTTTGTATTTGATAGTTTTAATTACTAATTGTTATGCCAGCTCAAGTTGGTCAGATTTTGTAAGAAAAAATTAAATTTAATTACTTCTTTTAATTGACTATATTATACATATCACAATATTATAATTGTGTTCTTAAAGAATAGTTCTTGGCAATTGGTGTCCTTGCATATACCCAAAATTTTGACAGTTTTTACTGGTTCAGGTAGCTTTATTTGATATTTACGCTACTATTACAAATTAATTTTACTGTGCAATAAGGTGTGTTCTTGTATATGTGAACAAAAGCATATTAATCCTCAATTTGATACGATCTTGCTCAATGTATGGTCTCCAAATAAATTCATAAATACAGGAAGTCAAAAATAAAGTACTATCTCACCAAGAAATAATTTATGGTAGTCAATATTAGTGATGATGGATTGTAATTCCCCATAAAAAAAAAATTGTAACATTAGAGGATCCTAACTAGGTTAGAAGGGGTGACAAGGTAAGAAGTATAAAAATTAATAGTTTAGTAGTACGTGCATTCTGGTTGGATTAACATACGTTAGTGCATTAGCAAATAATTTTTTTATTATGTTAAATCCTTATTAGTGGTTTAAGTATTTCTTTTAAATCTTTTTTAAATAAATCTTTTAAATTTTTTGAATATTGTCTATAAAGAGATATTACTTTTGAACTTGTGATATAAAATGAAGCACATATATTTTGTGTGGTTATAAATCATTACATAATGGTAAATTATTTTCAAATAAGGAAATGGTTCATTCTTTTTGGCACGGACTAAAAAGGAAATAGGTTCACATAAATTGAAACGGAGGGAGTATTATTTATAATTACAAATATTATATTACTACCTTAACTAATCAAAGTGTTGACTTTTGCAGGTTCAGAACATATCCAACATATTTGAATTCACCTATTATATTAATGTAATTACACTCAATTTTTATTTCAATTGTATGTTGAATTTATTTGGACATTAATTACTATTATACATAGTTCGTTCTCGTCATATACAATTTTCTTACTAATTAATATACGCGTCTTACACGTGCAACGCACGTACCCTAAAACTAGTTAGTATAATAACATATTGCATTAAGTTAACATACATTAATACAAGAAAAATTCTTTACACTATCAACATATACAAGAAAAATTCTTTACACTATTCCATTACATGCACGTGGTTATAATGTTGATTATTTTTGCAAGTTTCCTTATTTGAGCAGTAAATTAGTTCTATAGGAGAGTGAGGAGGTCCTCAATTGATTTTTAATTCGCATTAAACACACACATATATAATAAAAAGGGCAGTCCGGTGATCTTCTGGTCACATGACAACAATTTTACCTACATTTCTGCAAGAGGCTGTTTTCACGGCTCGAACCCGTGACCTTCTGGTCACATGACAACAATTTTACCAGTTACACCAAGACTCCCTTTCTCACGCACATACATACGGATTTAAAATATATACACACTAAGATTTTTTCCAAGGAAAAAGATGTAATTCATATTATAGAGCTAGGCTGGGGGATAGGTTGGAGTCTACTTAAAGTGTGTGTCTATGTGAAGGGATGGCTGCTTGCAATTGTCAAGAGAAGCCCGTGACAGCTCTCAGCAACTTAGGATGATTATGAAAAATATCCCAGTAGCTTAATTCTTCTCTTTAATTTCTTCTTACTTTCTTGTAAAAGAACTAATTACTCGTTTTAACTGTACTGATGTTATTAACTGCTAGACACAACTTTATTGAATGTATATTCAATGAAAGATGTTAGAACTATACATTAAGTAGCGCAGCTAATGATGTTTTGCAGTATAGAAGAGTCAAAACGTGTCCTCTTTTAGAGAAAACAAGACATTCACACGAGTATTTATTGGAATTGTTAACAAAAAAATTATTAATTTCTCTAGTCACAAGTTATGAGGTCACAGTTCTCTCTTTTTTCGCTGGAAAGAATAGATAGAGAAGTTCTAGAATATAAATATAATTAACTTGAATATAATGTTCTTCTTGCATCATACTGTCTTATGCATTAATATTATACAAGTATAATCCAATAAAAGATGAAGATATTTTCCAATGAAATGGACTGCCTTCCTATCACATCCTTTCCTCAACAAATTTTTTATTTCAAAGCATGCGAGCTAAATATTATTTTATTAAAACCCTAATTAAAGCCGGTGGAGGAGTAATTTAGTCCATCCAACTAGAAAACAAATGAAGATTTGATTTGCTTCGCTTGCAATTAGGTGACGTGCTTTAACAAGAATGGTGAAAGTTAGGCTAATTATTTTCACCTACTTCATATAATATAAATTATGATGACAAGCTAGTATCTATTGACAGTACATGTTAATTTTCATTAATTTTATTGATTAGGAGAAATCAAAAAAATTCTACTGGAGACCAGAATTTGCCACCTCCAATCATTTTCAAGGGACCCCATTATATTTGACTGCTCAGTTGGCCTCCTACTTAGAATCATTCAGATTAATTTCTTACATTAAAATTCAGCCATATGATAAATTTGTCTTCTCTACTGGAAACTTGTAGTCCCTCCTCATGTTTTATCTCTCGTGAAAGTAGCTTCCAAATATTGGATAGTTGACTTCATATATTGCCTGTAATTTCATTTGTTGTTTTTGTTTTGTTTCCTCTACCCCTTTTTGGTTTCTACTTATTCTTTCTTGTCTTCATCTAACCCTGTTTTTTCATGAGTCAAAGATTAGGAGAAAACAATATCTCATCTAATGTATTCCACAGGCTGTACGTACATTACGGAGTTTTAAAAAAAATGAATCTCAACTTTCTACGTAGCAAATCGTATTTGTATTTCTTAATTATGGAAATAAAAAAACCGTAGACTCATTCTTTTTAGATATCTGATATCCAAAAATTCACCGGCTTATTAAGGCTTTTAGAAGCATCTCTAGGTTAATGTATAGAAATCTTAAGATTTTTCTGCAAGTATATTATTTTGAAACTTCTTACCAAGTAAATCTAGTAATTTCTACAGGTGGTCTATTGCTATGAATTAGAGAAATATTAGATCTACGTCATGAAACTGTTGACGTCTTATAAAATTAGACATTGTATAGGTAACCATCTTACGCCATGCTTACCAATTGGTTTGGTGATCAAATCTTATACTGATTCTCTATTACTTCACCATTTCTCACAAGGTAGTTGATTAAACCTGTCACGTAATAAAACAGAACAATTATAAGTATGAATATGGAAAGACTTAGGTTAAAGTGGCAAGGTAGGTAGAATATCATTTCCCTATTTGGACCTGTGATTAATCAATTGTTATTAATCGTTACATGAACATGAAGATTGGCTAAAATATCTCCTATAGTGGCGTCATATTGGGTCAAACAGATCAGCAAGCAACTATTTAATATACTTCTCCAATATTCTTTTGCATGATCATTGCTTGTAAATATTGAGGCAAAACGATTTATGGTGTATTTTATGCTCGTTGCTAGATTAAAAAATAGAAAACTTCCATATCTAAGCAGATGTGACCTATAACAACGATAATTATGAGTTATTCAAGAAAGGACACTTGGTTCCACCAAAATATATGACCATAAATTAAGTTAAAGTAAGATTATCCCCATACTTCTAGCAATATATCACTCTTTTAATTTCACTGTTTTGGAAATATGATTTCAACTTCTTCTCCAGGCTCATTTTGTCTCCAAATAGTTCTACCCCCTGCCCCAAAAAGCATAAAAAGTGCATATAGCTAGATATTATTGGATAAATCATTCAATT